TTTACAACGATCCCTTTTCATATCTACAATAACATAATTCTATACAATATTTTAATGCAATGGCATGTAATGAAAAATTAGGAATATACAGGAAGCATTTATAAATATTCAGCTCTCTTTCCAAAACTTTTCATAAAAATAAACTGAGGACGTAAGATTAGTGCAAAGATTGACAGTATATTATTTATTATTTTAGATAAGTAATTTATTTTTGTATGTTATTTTGTTGATATTAGAAAATTATACACACACACACACACACACACACACAGAAGGTTTAAAGGTAAAAATATGAAATATTATTTATGCACTTAAAAGAAGAAATTGATGCTATATTCTATTATTTTTATTAAAAGAAAAATAGCTACAAGGATGCTGCGATTTCCTTTTATATTAAGGTTATAATTTATTATCGGAATATCATTAAAACATGATTACATTTTTCTTCTGGACATTATAAATAAAAAACTGCATTCATATAAGACATGTATAAGTATAATCACTTCTGCATATAAGTATTCACTCACCAATGAAGTTGTGTAGAAAAATAGCAAATAAGAAATTATTCCCTGATGACATAATAAAAATTAAAAGAATTAGCGGCGGAAGAACCGGCAGTCATTGGACTGCCATATTTCTGCTATTCAAATTCCGATTGTGCTCTGAAAGATTAAAATCATAAGCATTACAATTAATCAAAGGAAAACTATATCAATCAACATCTTTTATACAAACTTTGTAAAAATGGTGCCAAGTATAGTAGCACTTTGTGAATAACGTTGTTCATTTTTATGCGCTTGCTGATGCCATTTTTTGCGTATAGCATTCCATCGTTCAATATGATCTTTCATTAATTGTTCTCGCGTTTTGAGAATTTGTCCTTCCTGTAATTACGTTACGTATAATTTGTATGTGTTATAATATAATTGTTAACATAAAAAATGTATTAGTATAAATCTTTCTTATTTTTAAAACTTTAACAGTAACTATGAATCATTTTAATAATTCTTTAATCAGCCTTTTATATGAACTAAGGTATACATGGGATGAGAATTGCAATCAAATTCGAGATCTGTCGACTATCAATCAATTAATTTTTTATAGTCACGAGTAACTGAATTATTAATATAAATTCAAATATTATACATTTGTCGAAATTATTGACTCACATAATCTAAGTTCAAATCATCTTTTTCTTCAAGTATAGGGGATGGAATACGATTTCTTGGTATGGCTTCTTCACGAGGCAAAGGGGGTGGTAAATAATGGACATCATTTAGCTCACCATCAGTACCAATTAAATTATTTGCCGTGTTAACTTCATTAATTATTTCTGGGCTTGGACTACGCACTCTAATCACAAATTAATGTATTTATTTTAGTTTTGCATAAATTTATGAATATAAAATTGTATAGAGAGAAAAAGAAATTGAGAAAGTATTTCTATAATGATTTAAGGGGGCCGGGGTGGTTTGGAGAGTTAAAAAAAATCGATTTTTTTTTATTTTCGGAAAGTTGATTATCTTGAAAATATGTTATCAAAACTATTCATAGAAATAATATAAAATAATGGAGTTATTCACGGTTAACTGAAATGGTGCACAGGTAAAAATTAAGCGCGTTTGAGTTTCGATCTCCGGCTGTTACTTCTTTGAACAAAGAAATATCTGCTGTCTCTGTCTTTTTCTACATTTCTGTTCAAACAAGATGAATCATATTATGGCCCAGGAATCGCCGAATAAGAAAAATTTATTGTAAGTACTAAAAAAACAAATATTCTAACTCAAAACTTTAAACGCATTTTTCACATGTGCATGTTCACATGGGCTATTTCTCCTTAATTTATTTGCTAAAAAA